ACCGTAAATGGGGTCTCTGTGAGTCAGAACTGACTCGATGGCACGTAACCACCACCACCATTACTCCAATAGGGCCTCATATTAACTTAACTGAAAAAAATAATCTTCAAAAATCCTGTCTCCAAATCAAGTCACAGTCACTGGTACTTCGTTTTACATTGTCTCTTCATTTATTAACGATTTGGTTCTCTGACATTTTGCAGGTAAAATAGTAAAAATTTATACTATCCCCAAATTTTGTACATTAATAATATATGTCTGGCAGCAATAAATGCTGAGGTTTAAGGTAATATAATGCTGGCTTCAATGGTTAAGATTATTATGTGTTAGCTTAGCTGATAGTTTGGCAGTTGTGAATTTGATAGCTATGTAAGTATCTTATCATCCTCCATTTTGTGGTTTGTTGTGGTCATTCCCTATTTTTGCATGCTGCCAATTGGAACCTGACCTTTGGAAGCTAACCATGCCAATAAATGAAAAGAGGATAAATCTTTTTGTGGAACACAATCCAATCCATAGCAGTCATTAATTTGAATCCCCTTGATTTATAGATCTGAAATCAAAGACTCAAAGAGGTTAAAATATGAATTCAAGTAGAGCTGCTTCTCACTTAGAATATATAGACCATAAATAAAAGTGTTATTTAGTCAAAATACTTTTGAAAATTACTTAAATTATCCTTTAAACATAATATAGATACATAGTTTTTCTGTACTACAGCTCTTACATTAAGTGAAGTTTGAGAACTATAAAGATAGATGGAGAAAGGTTGAAAGTCTGCAAGCAGAGTATTGGCTATTCAAACCATCTGCCTTTTAGATAACCATCAAATCCTGTAAATGAGAAATAGAGACCTTTTATGTGTTCTTGCTTCTCTGTGAGATTTTTGCATTTGGTTTCAATAATAAGCCTCTAACCTTAGTACAGTTCAATTGATTTAGTCACTGCTCTGATGATTAAAGAGTTAAGTTCTAAAAACCATATGTTAGTTAACCTTTCTCCATCTATCTCTATAGATCTCAAACTTCACTATACTGCAGCTCCACACCACAGTATAAAGAAAAATATACAGAGCTCATGGTTCCCTCTTCAGCATTTTGTTTGCTACTATTTACTACTACTTACACAACAAACTCTGAATATGACTTGAAAAATGGGGTGGGAAGGGGCAGTTTTCTAGCAACCATTCAGTAGCAAGTGAGTTCGCTACTTTCTCTTTCTCTTTTGTGTCCTTAAGTGATTAGTTTGCTGGATAAGGTATTAGTCGATGAAAAGACTTTACTTTCATTCAGTCATTTTGATTAGCATTTTTGTTCATCCTTTTTTATTCATAAACATATGGTAAAGCAGGATGCAATGTTCCACCGTTCCAATGACTGTGATTTCAAATCTAAAGCACTACTTGTTCATTCCTGAAACCTGAAACAGACATCTGGTGTTCAATGCCCTGAGAAAAAAGTATCTTAGTGCTTTACCTCTATCTGTGATTCAAGATCGTGGGCAATAGGAACATGTAGATGAGATTCGATTAAAAGAAAATCAGGCTTCTGTGTATCTTCGAATGGAGGAAGCTGGGTAGAAACCATATGATAGTCTTAAAGGCATCTTCCTTTCTGCCTCATTCTGTCCCATTCTGCCCTTACAAAAAAAACTCATCCAATACAATATCCAGGGGTGCTGTAGCCAGTTTTAGAAATTCTTTCTTACACTAGAAGATATGTTTGAATGTTCCTTTTCTTCATTGAATATAAACTCAGAATCATTCTCGTTTGTACGTACTGTCAGGCTCGTGATACCACACATTGTTGTTAATTAAAATTGTATTTCCTACAGTAAAACTTGTCTCATTTTTCATATTTTATTATAAGATTTATTCTAGCTCACTCTTTCCATTATAAGATGACACTTGGAATAGAATTTGAAATGAGTATATGTGGTCCTTTTTATAATAGTATTCATTTTAGAGAATGATGCATATGTTTATAAGCATAACAATCCTATTAATCAAACATCTGTACTGTCTTCACTTTCGGGAGGAAAATGAAATCGTAGACAGGAATATGATAGTTAATCCTTCATATGTGATATCAAGTTATATGAAATAGAAATTTATATGGGAATCACTTATGTGAGATATCATTTATAAGTGAATACACATTAAATAACCTTAAATAACCCGTAACTCAGTTTTTTAACCTATTGTGATATAACTCAACAAAGAGGAAACAAAGATAGAGGCCATTAGTCTAACAATTCACACTTTCACATGTTTTTGCCAGAACATTCAAAGAATGATCCCCAGTCAGAAATTCCAGGTCAAACTGCAGCTCTTGCATCTATTCTGAGGTCAAATCTATAGATTTGGTGTTTCTTTCTTGAAGTTGTGGCTTCCTTATTGAGACAAGCCTGTGTTTCACTTAAGTTGCTTCCCCAAGGCTGAGGCACTTTAGCCACAACCACAAACACAAAGAACGTGGTAGTCCATGGAGACACCAGCATAGCAGCACGGTTACCTGGAGGAGTAGCTTTGCCCTGCTGGACAGTATAGGCCACGCTAGATACTTTTCATATTTCAGGATGCATTGTTGTTGCTAAATGCAGCTGAGTCAGTTCCAATTCATAGAGGCAACCCTGTATAGAGTTTCCAAGGAATGGCTGGTGATTTGAAACTGCAGACCTTGTAGTTCAAACTGACCTTGCAGTCCAGTGCATTAACTTGCAGTGCCACAGAATGTATTAGGGTGGCTTATTTACATGTCTAAAGATTTTTAATGCATTGAGTTCTGATTGCCAGGTTTAGCAAATAAATACATAAATGATCACTTATATTTTAATTACAGATAAATAACATATATATTTTAAAACAACTATGTCCCATGAAATATTTGAGACATATACCAATTTTTTTTTCAAAAAAAAAAAAAATATCCCCTCATGATACACACTTCTACTAAAAAATAATGTATGTAAAATTGAAATTTAACTGGGGTTTTTTGCATTTTATCTGCAATCTACTTGGAGTGGAAAAATGAATCCTTTCCTTAGCAACTCCCTCTTTTACCTTTTAAGCTACTGTGTCTAACTTTGTAAATTTAAGACTGGTAGGAGTCCTGGTGTGGTGCTGTGGGTCAAGGCACTGGACTGCAAAGTGGGTTTGAATCGCAAGGTCTGGAGTTCAAGCTCCAGCCACTCCTTGAAAATCCTGTACAGTGTCTCTATTGGTCGGAACCTACTCTACAGCACTTGCCAACAACAAATGACCCTGTAAGATAAACACTAGACTGCTAACTGCAAGTTTGGCGGTTCAAGCCAACATTCGAACCCCCCAGCGGCTTCTGGGAAGCCACTCCTTGGAAACTCTATAATGGGTCACTGTGAGTGAAAATGAACTCAAGAGCTTAGCATCTTAATTGGGCATTGTCTGTAACCTCTAATCCACAGGTTGCCTGGCCTTATACTCCTGTGATACAGGGTTATGCTTACTCTGTGTTAAAACATTGCAGATAGTTTTGTCCAGTTTTTCCCTCTACGTCTCGTAATACTCGTATTACTATAATAGCATTAATAGGCATTAGGTACTTGCTACCCAGTAATGGGGTGAAAAATCTCCTGACCTCCCTGGACTCTGCTAACCTTTAAAATGAGGAGAATGCTTTCAAGACGTCTTACCCACCCCAAGGCTCCTTCAATCTCTTACATTGCTACAAGTCTTTGAAATGAGAAGTCCATTAATGTTCTCATTTACCTTGCAAAACATAATTGTTCCTATTTCGAATGAATCTTTTTTTCTTTCTAAGTAGTGTTTAGATTACTAAGTAAGTAGTGTTTAAATTACTCAATTAATGGCTTCCCCCTAAAAGATGTTTAACATAAACTCCTCAAGGGCCAAAGAAGGCATTCTTTCTTTCCACCCCACCACTCGACCTAAAGCCAGACTTTGCTCACAGTGGGTGATCAGATGATGTAACCATGAAATTGCTGATAATGATAAAACAATTCCATTGTTTTAATCCAATTCTGTGGTGGGTTCAAACTGTCGAAAACGATTGTGAACGGAAACCACCCTTCTGGTTTGAAAAACAAGTTTGTGGGCAGCTCGTTGTTCTCTTCCGCCATCTAGTGGAGCCAGGGATGCGCTTGTCCTCTGAATTTACTATTTGGAACCGCAAGATTTCAAAACTTAAAAATCAAATGGATGAATTGTTTTATTCTTCTCATTACAATAAAAAAGGGATTTATAGAGTGTTTCAATAGGTGAGTTGTAATAAATGTTAATAAAAATTAAGTATAACACAATGACAGACTTAAATACTTAAACAGTATAGATTAAATCCATGAAATTTCATCTCTTTAATACATTCAAATAGTATCTGGAATAGTGTAAAAAAAAAATAAAAAATACCTACTAGCCTAAAGTGTTTTAAAGATAGATGATCCATCTCAGGTGTTCTTGTATGATGTTGTCGGTTTGTTTTGTTTTGTTTAAAATAAACGTAATCGTTCATTCATAGCAGATGAAAGGAAATAAAGTTCTGAAAGGCCTTGAATTGGTAGAGAATTAGTCTCAGTTGTCTATTTAACCACTTGTCTTCTACAAAGGGAGAGATTATGATTATTATTTATTAATTCAATACAAGGTTTAATGAATGCTAAGTGATACTTAGTTTTAATGTCCCATAATCTGGAACTTTCTTCAAATGGCATAATACTGGATTTAATTGTGTGAATCGCTATTGAAAATAAATTTTTCTAATGAATGAAATGAAATATTTCTACAGTGTGACTTATTTCCCAATAAAGCTGTTCTCATTGAATAAGCACTATAGGAAAAAGGTTTCTGACATTTTAACCTTATGCTGGTTTCCTTTTGATTTTCCTTTAAAATGCTAACACAGTTATAAGTATTTAGATCTTTCTAACAGAAAATATTTAAAGGCAATATCACTTTGTTTTTTAACATGCTTTGGAGTCAACTGAGAAATCTCCAATTTGTTTTCCAGGGTGGGAAAATTCCCATAAGATGGACAGCCCCAGAAGCTATTGCCTACAGAAAATTCTCCTCGGCAAGTGATGCATGGAGCTATGGTATTGTCATGTGGGAGGTCATGTCCTATGGAGAGAGACCTTACTGGGAAATGTCTAACCAAGATGTAAGTGCCATTAATGGTTACATCGTCATTCTGTTCATGTAAACACACACGCATGGAGTAGGGAATACATCATTGCCCTCACCCAGATTAGCCCTTAGCCTTTCCTGAGAATGTGTGGGCAAATCTGAGAAACTGAGTAACTTTTCATTCTGAGCTTTATTTGGTGACCTAGGGGGCCAGCTGACAGGCTGTGCCATGTGTTTGGGTACCTGATCCATATATTAGATCTGTGACTTTCATGCATGTTGTTTTTAATGCAATATAGCTGTTGCATGCAACAGTCTAGACCTACAAGTAAAACAAGAGTAATGTTTACCGTTCTTTTTTTCCTGAGAACAATTTAATGCATCAATCTAACAAGCAGATTAATTTATACTAGATACCACAGAGAGGAGTGAATGCTTCCAGGTAATGTATTCTCAATATGGATCACATGGTGTGGTTCTTTTGAGCTACAAGATCCTTGATGAATTCTGCTTTGTTTCTATCTCACTGATGAAAATTATCTTAGTGGTTGAGATTATGAACACACATTTGGCCTCTACACCCTGTCCAAAGTGATAGGGACATTAGTCAGAAAATGCAGTAACCATCTCAGTAAGTGTCCTGTCAGAGATGAAAATAGACTTTAATTTTTGATTCACTTCTTCATCTCAGAATTCAGGCTTTGTCCATTCATTTGATTTGCTTAAAGCATCTAATTAATGATTCTTGAGACAAAGATAATGAGATGATATGATTTTGAATGTGAATGCAAAGACTATGTAATTATTGAAAATCCCTAACCACACTCAAAGTACAACTCTTGTCACACCTCTTTACTTTTTTCCAGTTAATTACTGAAGTGCTGTCTACCCCTGTATGCCTTCCTCTAATTGTCCAAGGATCTCAAGGACTTATTCCGTGAAAGTTTATCCTTTTCTAATGTCAGGCATAGAGAAGATGATTTGTGTTAGTTTGCCTTAGTTACGGTCTCTCTCGCCCAAATAGAGTTGCTTTCAAAGCTCAGTCCTGCCCAGTCCTGTAGGTGCCAAATGACTCTGTCTGGAAACTATGCCGCAGCATTTTCAAGGTTGTACATACTATCCCACATGATTCTCCAAAGAACAATGTCAAAACACAAAACTAAAGTATCTGGGTCCTGCAGAGATTCTAGCCTTAAATGAAAAATGGGCCGTAACGAGCAATCTCCTCTCCACCCCCTAAAGTTTAGACATTTTAGATACAAGTATAAAGTTCACTATTCTTCAGACAGTTTTATTTTAAGGGCCTCATTGCTTTTCCCTGTCACTGGGTCTTGTTTGAGGCAACTTGGGACCATCTCTCCAGTGCCTCTTAAATCATGTTTTTAAATCATGTATAAAAAGCAATAGAAGCTTTGGATTAAGTCATCATAGGCTCTGTTCTGCTCTAATTCCAACATCATGGTTGCCTACCTGCCCTGCTTTGACATGACTAAAATCAACCATTCAGGCAAATCTCCAGAACATCAAGCTCTTCTCCAGATGAGTTACAATCTCCTTTCTATAGAAGAGGTTGCACTTTAAGTACTTTCCTTAATTAGTAGCCATTTAGTTCTTATCTTAACCAGTCCCTTGAAAGACCTAAAATAAGAAATTTCCTGAAAGAACTACACACTTTCTTAATGATACACCCTTATCAGTAAAAAGTTCTAGAAAACCCAGAACTGATAAGTGCATATTTGTTTATACATTTTATGTAACACTACTATAATAATATATTCATTTAAAAATATTTACTGGGTACGTGCTCTATTTTAGGAGCTAGGGATGTAGCCGAGTATACATTTTACACCTGGAAGGGGCTATAAAGATGATCTAGTCCAATCTCTATATTGCTTTGCACTTGAAACTGAGGCATAAAAAAGTTATATCACTTCCATAGATTTATATAGCAAGTGATTTGTCCAATATTCTTTGAATAGAATTCTAATACATACCTCAGGTAAGTCAAGGGCAAAGAAAAGCAAAGACAAAATAACTACTTCATTGATACTAGTTTGTTTTATAGTTCATGTAGCTAACCATACAGAGCTAGTGGTCTCTTGTCCTCATGAAATTTACACTCCAGTGAGAGGTACACAGAGAGTAAGCAAAATAAAAAAGTAAAAAATACAATATATAACATCATAGTCACTACTGTGAAAGAGAGAAAAGCAAGGAAGAACAATAAGAAATGTTGAGAGTTCAAATTTATATATATAATATACATTTAGCCAAAAGAGATGAACTTGGTTGGCATGTCTCAAGCTGAAAGAACTGAAGAAAAATTCAATACCTGACTTGAAAATTGAAGGATTCTATGGGTAAAATATTGACCAGTGCAGGAAGTATGAAAAGAAGATGGAAGGAACATACTGCATCATTACCACAAAAAGAACTGGTTGATGTTCAACCATTTCATGGGTTATCATATGATCAAGAGCAGGTAGTATTGAAGGAGGAAATCAAAGCTGCACTGAAGGCATTGGTGAGAAACAAGGTTTCAAGAATTGACAGAATACCAATTGAGATGTTTCAACAAACTGATTCCATACTGGAGGTGTTCATTTGTCTATACCAAGAAATTTGGAAGACATCTACCTGGCCAACTGACTGGAATACAGCCATACTCTTGACCATTCCAAAGAATCCAGAAAATCAAATGATGTACTGGTCAAACCTGTTGCAAAAGATCTCTTTAAAAAAGTATTAAAAAGTAAAGGTGTCATGTTGAAGACTAAGGCGCACCTAACCCAAGTCATGGTATTTTCAACTGTCTCATATGCATGTGAAAGCTGAATGATGAATAAGGAAAACCAAAGAACAATAAAGTCTTTGAACTATGGTGTTGGCAAAGGATATTAAATATACCATGGACTTCCAGAAGAATAAACCAATCTGTGTTGGAAAGAACATAGCCAGAGCACTCGTTAGAATCCAGGATGGAAAGAATTCATCTCACATGCTTTGGCCATGTTATTGAGAAGGACATCATACTTGGTAAAGTAGAGGGTACCCAAGAACAACAATATATAGCAAAATACATTCACAAAATTCACTCTTATAATAGGGTTATTGTATGCCATCATGTTGATTAATACTCACTCATAGCAACCCTATATGATAGAATTGAAGTGCCCCACAGGGTTTCCTGTGCTGAGATCTTTACAGAGGCAATTTTATAATTGTTGTTGTTGCTAAGTGACATCAAGTCAGTTCTGACTCATAGAAACCCTGTCTAGGATTTCCAAGGAGCAGCTGGTGAGCTTGAACCACCGACCTTGCAGTTAACAGTCCAGTGCTTATCCTATAATGTCTCACAAGGACTCCAATTTTATAATCTTGTTGCTGTTGTTGTTAAGTGCTGTCAAGTCAGTTCTGACTTATAGCGACCCTGTAAAGGGTTTCCGAGATGCAGCTGGTGAGCTTGAACCACTGACCTTGTGGTTCAAACCAACCTTGCAGTCCAGTGCGTTAATAGGATGAGACAATTAAAGAGAAGCTCTATTGCTTTTCCTACTCTCTGGATTATTATTTTACCACCTGGAGTACATGGACCACCAATTTAGGAAATCTGACTATGATTATGTGCACTATAATTCGACCATGAAATTCAACCACTTAACTTTTTTAAGTGACTCAATTTCATGTCCAATAAATACAGTAAAGGAGCTGGAGTAGATACTTTTTTAATTCCCCTCTAACAGTAACATGCTGTAATTTTATGATCTTTGAAGAAAGAATCATCAGTTTTCTCAAATGATTCAAAATGTTCTTTTCTGAAGTTAGAACATTTCTGAATCTCTCTAGAGGTACTAAGAATTAGTTGGCACTTTCACAAAACAGGAAATGTACATGTGAAATTTAGAAAAGCAACTTCTGCAGGAAAAAGCCCATATGTGTAGTCTTCAAAGTAGACCACCATGTAAATTGTTTCTCCTTGTTGTCTAAAGTAGTCCAAAACCCTGTTTTCATCCCCTCTTTCCCTGGATTTTGCCCAACAGCTCACTCAGTTATTCTGGCTATGTGTACTGATGGCCTCTGTCCAAACTGACCATTTAGGGAGCATTTTTTGTCTATTAAACCCATTTGGCCACAGAGACTATAACCAGGACCAGGAGAAGCTGCCACAGTCAAGAATAAACTCCCAACATTAAGCCGTTCTCATTCCTTCAGTCCTTGTATGCCCACATACAAGACTGAATTCTTCATCTAAATAGAGTTTGGTTGTTTTCTTAGGCTCAGGTAGGCATGTTTTCTTAGGCTTTGGCATGTTTTCACGACTTTTACGTAAGTTACAAAGGAATATTCAAGAAAACATCTGAAAATATAATTTTTTAAAAGTTGTGAGAGGGAAAAAAAAGAGCCAAAACGTTAAGCTCCTCACATCAATAGAAGGCTACAGGAAACTAGTAAGAGCTAAAACCTTTTATGTATGTATTGTGAATATTTTTTTGCTGCTGCAGTAAAGAGAGTCAAAATTCTGTTTAGCTTAACATATTGGCAGTCAGCATATCAGTGACAGATCCTATAACCAGAATTTCTGTTTGGAAGCAGAAATTGCTTAATAAGAAATTTCCCAACTGTTCTTTCCAAATACTGGCTACTCCCTATGTGTCCTGCATTTCTCATTTGTTTGGTCAAAGAAAAGTCTTAGGTTTGACTTTTTTGCACCCAAGGTGTATTTTAAAGAAGGAAAGTAATATTTTAGGCAATAAGAATTCACTATGTTCTTTTTGGTTATTTTGTTTCTTTACTTTATTTTGGTGAGTTTAACAAAGCTATCAGCACAGGTGAAATGAAATGCTTTATGATTTTAAATAAGTTTAGAACATTTTAGATAGTTTTTATGAAATAGTCTCTCTATTCTGCAGACTGCAGCATATTTTATTACAATGAACAATTCTGAGTTTGCAGAATCTGTTTTAGTGAATAATATAATGAGTTTCCCAAAGGTCAGTGGTATTGTACATTAGGGAAAGGAAATGAGCAAAAACT